GAGACACTCGTTTATAGATTTTTGACATCTCAATTATACATTTATGTGATGTATAGGATGATTCCGAAAACAATTCAGAAACCTACAGTTGTAATCAAAATGAGTATAATATTGTTTCAAATACATATCAAACACAAAATAAAAATCAGGAGGCCTAGTATTCGAATGATTTCGACTTTTGAGATCAATCAAATTTTTGGAAAATGAGTCATGATTTTTATTTGAAACTGATGATTCATTGAGAGAAAATGTTGGTTTGAAGATTAAGTTTTTTGAGTGACTCCAAATGGGTCAGAAGTTTTATTTATTGTTGGAATTAGGACACAACTTATGGTACTATGAAACGAATTATGAATTATCCCATACACCACTTTTGACAATAGTTGACTAGATACAATACGATAAGACTAGATTCTAAATAGACGGATCGCGATATAATATTAAGTGCGTTCAACTAACCTAGACTGATCCAGAGGTGCAGTACATATATGCTGAATAGCAATAACCATGGGATAGCATTGCCACTTTGACAGCAACTTTCACCTGACTGTCAGATTTGATAGTTTATTCGTCATAAAGGCGCTGCACGAGTGGACCGCTGAATGCACTCATTAATACTGACCTAACATCCCAAAAGCTCCAGTAGCGTTAAAAAACTGTATCGTCCAGAGAAATGCTTACCCAGCTACCCTTTGTATGAATATAAAATGAGCGGTTAAACGAAAACCAAAATTGTTATTTTAAATAATCCGAAATTTAATATTTAATAAAAATTCAATAAAACTGACACGGTGAATACTAAATCTAGCTTACTGGAGCCAAAACCTAATATCTACACATAATTTTCGATATGGCAATTTGATTCACGTAATATTCTTTCAAAGAATTTCGTTTTTAGTGAGGTAAGTTGCCGCTTGGAGCGTATTGCAAACTTAGATCCCTGAACGCCCGCACTGTGTGACTAAGATAAAAAACACATTTGGTTAGGAAAAATCTTATGTGCGAACAGTGTTTTGATTAACCTGATGACGCACATAACCTTTTTGTACTCGCAGGAACTAAAATGATGATTTTTCAAATTATACAATATAATAAATAAAATATATCTCACGCGTATGGAAAGCTCATATATCTAGATGTATTAAGTAATAAGAAAAACAGAGAAATACGTTCTGGACTAAATGAAGAGGTGGTTATGTAGCTATTGTTATCTTTACTATAATGGAAAACTTAACCAAACCACACTATTCCTTCTTTTAGATCGTTTCTTCAGTTCTATCGGTAGATTATTAAATGGTACATTGAAGAAGGAATGAAAGAAAGTAATTCTCATGGGAAGAACTGAAATGAAAAATAAAATAACGGTTCACTCAAGAGATAGTAAAACAGTCAAACAAGCTAGACTTTAACCGTTGGAACTGATATTTCTGGTATACGTACTTAATAAATGTTATGTAAGACAAAATAAACATTAATGTGTTAATTGAAGAAACGAATATCCATTCATTAATTTGGTGGGACGGAAAACTTTCCAAACACATATAAACATTCAATTAGAACCTCTGATAAAGTATCCAAAGATTGATATCTTAAAAAGGAAGCGCCTCACTACCTTATACATTGTTACAAATAAATGAATGATAAATAAGACTAGATATATTTATAATTATGATATCACATAGTTTCCTAAAAAATAATTAACCTACTCCTAAGAGACTATACGAAAGACGTTGGCGAAAACGTTAAATGATATGTGCAGCATTTTACGCTGTGAAATATGCATTAAATATTTTGAATTCCGACTAGTCCAAATAATACTGGCGATATGACTAGAAGTTGACTAGATTTTGGAATGACTAGAAGCATGAAGGATTTAAGCATATATAAATATACAGCTTATAAATAAGTATTAATAAATAAAATTTTCGATTGATTCTATTCTTAAACAATTATATGTAGGTTTGTTTTACAACTCACTTTGTTTTTATCAACACAGTTATAATTTTCAAAATCAAATTCCATAAGCGCATCATGCAAAAATGATTTACTTAAAACTAGCAAACTACAAACTAAGAGGCACTGGTGGAAAACAGGTACTAAAATATTCATAATTGTGTGTAGTCTAAAACTAATTGAAATAATTAAAAAAAATCTGTATCATCATAAAAAACTAATCGGAGACAGATGCGGGTTCCACTATTTCACAAATCATGGTTTGAACATCTATATTTTTTAGAACATAATTATACATATATTTCTTGTTAAGGACATGAGATCACTGAAATTTTTGATAGTCTTAAATGATTGAGACCTAATTCTTGGTCATTAGTTCTGACTAGAAACGAACACTAAAATAAACCATTATTATTATTGTTAATAGAGGATTTAGTAAAAATAAGCTTAATCATAAAGACTAGAGTGGCAGACTAGACCATTGCGTGACTAGATTTTGACTAGAAATCAAACATTGTAACTGACTAGATTCATCTGGACTAGAATAATACTGTCCCTTTGCCCTAAATAATGAGATCGCGGGAAAGTCGATTTGACAGCGAAATGTACAGATAATAGGTATGTACATATTTACAGCTTATCATTACACGTAAAAGTTCTAGTAGCTATAATTTACAAATAAGGATTTTTTCGACACTAATTTGATGTAACTATCTAAAGTCATACTGACACTATCGTCATACATGTTGTAAAGATATCACACTTTATTACTGAAAATGATAAATATACTTCTATTATAATAAAATATTATATTTTATGGGATTTTCACTTATAGTTTCTAGTTTTGTAATCTGTATGCAGAAAAATGGATTCTTGCGAAACCGCTTCATTACAAAAATTCAACGGACCAAAAACTTCAACTTCAGTACAGCTCTGATGTCATAAATGGAGACGAAATAAACGTTCGGCATGTTATTACTGAATTTTCAATGTATTTGAAATCATTAACTGCAGATGGAGCTTTCGAGAAATCAGACAACTTATAAATATAATTTGAAATGAAATAATGGTACTGGTGCTTCTGCAAGTACATAAGAGTCAAGCTTTAAGAAGCAGTGGCGTAGCAAGGGGGGGAGCGGTGGAAGCGGTCCGCACCGGGTGTCACCTTTTTTGGGGTGACACGTACCCGGTGGCACTACAAAAATAGAGGCACTTCGTCTTTATACTGAAATAAAAGGGGTCACGTTGTAGAAGAGGCAATATATATTGCTACGAAAAAATCAGAAGACTACAATATTCCAACACAAAGACGACTTCATTGTAAAAAACGGGTAGTCGGTGAGATGGCCAGTGATGCAGGACTCACACTGGAAGAAGGACTTCAAAAAGATAAGTATGTTGGGATGTCTTAACCGATTCAGAGTTGAATTGGAGACAAGATCGAAGTCTCTTCAAGACTCGAGATCGTACAAAGAAATATGTACTTTGGTTTTGGCGAATACTGAAAAACTGAAATTAGCTATAGCTCAAAAACAGAATTACTTTTGAAGATACCAAGACTGCGAAGATACTTAAAGGCCGCTAATATTACAGTTTCTGATCGGGTGTCTCTAGATTCTTGAAAGTTTATTGTGGAAAGGGATTTTACAGAATCTCTTCCAAATCTTATGATTGCACTAAAATTGTTCATGACGGTTTGCATGTCCGTAGCTACATGTGAAAGGAGTTTCAGTAAACTGAAATAAATAAAAAAACTATTTGCGGCAACAATGACCCAATCGCGGCTTAGCAGTTTTGGCATATTAGCCATCGAACACGAGGCAATACAAAATATAAATTTGGATGAAGTTATTTCTGAGTTTGCAGCTGTCAAAGCTAGAAAGAAGAGATTTTAATTGAAGATAAAAATATTTTTATAGTTTTAATTGTGTTTTATTATTCGTTCAATATTTTAAATATATATGACAAATGACGTTTATAAATCATTTAAAATTTATTGCACCAGGTGCCACTGGCTTTAAGTGTATTTTTTCTAATAGAACTGACAATGGTGGATGGCTCGAGCTTTACTCCATTAGAGTACACGACCTGTATGCATAAAAAAATACAAGTGATAATCCCAAACTCACAGTAGAGGAAGAACGTATATATGCAACTTTAAATATATTTTTTATGTTTGGGACACTAACTACATATACAATAACTGCAACATGCTTATTATTGCATAAAACTGACAGTTATACATACAGGGCTTTCTAGAAAGGTCCCTCTCTCACTCATTTCTTGAACGGGTCGAGGTGGCGAGCTAAAATTCAGGGTGATAAAATTGGGTCATGGATACCTACTATATTTTACCGTAAAAGTGGAAGTTGTAAATTTCAAGATGGCGATTTGGCGTTACTTTTGGACATTTTTTCAAATATGATGGGGGGTGATGTGATAACCATTTTAAGGATGCGTACTTTATGATCCTAGAATGTAAAATAACTATCTTTCAAAATGGCGAGCTGGCAGTCTGTTAAAGTTGGGATTTCTTATACATTGAGTCGCTTATAACTCAAAAATCAATCATCAAAACATGTGTTATATCAATCATTTCTTCTCTTAGTAGGGTCTATCCGAATATGTTCTAAAATATAGAAAGAATTGTCAAAATCTTCAATTTTTTTTTTATCTAAATTTTTCATATTTCAATGTACTTTCAGATATACCCTTGCAAAAGAAGAAGATAGATATAACATATTATGTCATTTTGAAGTTTAATTATAAGCGATTTTAATATATAAAAAAATAAAGCCTATTGAATTGAATTCCATGGCTATAAATTACTAATAAGGAGCTTTAATATGAGGTATCATATGGATCAGAGAACTATTCATTTCACGTTAAAGTATAGTATTCATGCATTAATTTCATCACTCACTTTCTGAAAAGTACTGTATAGTCGCCGTCTCATATATGATACTTGGATAGATTTTTGTTTTCTGGGATAGCTCAATAGAGATCTGCTTGAATGTAAAGTTGATACAAAATTTGTCATTTAATGATTTCAATATCTTGAATAGAATTTATTTGATTTTGACATGAATCAAGTCCAAGCAGTTTCACTTGTAGAGGATAAATTATTTGAGAAATGTAAGCTTTTCCAAGTTAATTAGAAAATATAATGTGACTGGTGTCTAGATGCATATATCTGTCTATTTTGTTGATTTTGTCACAAAAATGACAAAATATTATTTGTTTATTGGTCAGAGTAGTTACTGATGTTTTATCTTAACATGCTTGGTGCTTCAAAAGATAACCCAAACCTATGCGTAAGCACGGTAGACAAAACGCTCGAATTCATCCGGTATATCACTATGATCGTGCTCAGGTGACCTTTAAAAAACCAAGCGTCCTAAAGCCATCGAAATATGGGATGCACAAAAATCTATCCTCACATTATGTAGGTATACCCATGACACTATTCATCAAACTCCTAGAGATGTCCAATCCAAGGCATGACTGATGCAGCAGCCGCCGCCGCTGCCGCAAAGACAGTGGCGTCATGTTGTGCCGGGGGCTGGGGCAATGGTGGAGGTCTCCATAGGCGGGGAGGCAGGCAGGGAATGGGCCTCACCACCGGTACGAGCCGAGGTCAGTCGCCTGCCGTTAGCGTGGAGACTGACGTGAGGCCAGATATGGCGTTGCTGTTGGAATCGCGGTGCACCGCTTGATGTTTGCGGAGGTAGGCTAGTCGTCGGAAGCGTTTTCCACATTCTAGGCAGGGATGTTGCTCATCTAAAAGAAAATGTCTTGTTAGACCTTCAATTTCGCAAAGACTGTCAGCGTGATATTCTTTTTACTTTCAACGCCTACTGGCGATGAAATATTGTAATAGCGAAAACGGAAACGAGTTATTATATTTTCTGGATGTTATATAACATAGCATAAAATGTGCACAGAAGGTGTCTACTATGGCTAGTGTAAAAAATCTAGCAGTTGAAAATCGGTCCAGTGGCGGCGGAGCTAGGGGCAAAAAACACAAAAAAATTAAAATTAGCAAAACTTCATTTTCATTTCAGAAGCTCCTGTTCATTTTTAGAAATATTTTGTAGGGTATATCTCACTTTTAATTTTCAGGTTACGATAAGCTACGACTAAGAGGTCCTGGAAGAAAAATGTATTCAAACTTGAAACCTGGGCAACACTCTTAAGTTTTGTTTTGATTAACCCTAAAAGTGTTAAATTTTATTCAAAAGACTGTAATGGAAACGAAACCTGATTAGGTATGTTCACTTAACTACGATATGTCGTAACACTCTACAGTTCTACATCTCAAATTGTATGGACAATATGTATGAATACTATACCGTACAGGTACGTAAAACTACTGGGATCAGACACTTCGTAATAATAGAACGTTTTTCACTGATACCATAGGTACAACATTTGAATCCTTTTGATCTAAGGGAAGGTAGAACAGATTCAGTGAGTCCTATGGCTAACGCCGCCACTGGAATTTCTGCCAACAACCCCTCGTACGCACGCTTGTTTCAGCCCTTAGACGAGAACATCTCCATTCATGTGTTTAGTAGTTTTGTGTCGCACGCGATTCGGAAAGATGTCTGGCGTAACGTTTTAGCATAAAATCTGTATGACTTACAACTTACACTTAACAGATGTGTGTTAATACTGGGATCAGATGATTTTTACAATATGATATATTTTATTGATTCCAAAATTGAAACATTAACAACCCTCGAACTCCCAGACTCCAATTTTTAACCGCTACACAAAAAGTGTTCAAAAATGAACAGGAGTGTCTCAAACGTCAAAAAAAATAGTTTTTGAGGGATTTTAGTTTTTTTCGTTTTTTGTTCCCAGCTTCGCTACCACTGGACGGATGTTCAAAAGCACTCTTTTTGGCATAGTGTGTGAAAATTCCATCAAAATCGAGTACTTTCCGAGCTAGACCAAAGGATTAGCGGACAGACCGACGGAAATAAGTGACATCATTTTTTTCTTGATCTTGTATAACATCCAAAAACATAATATATCGTTTTAGAATTTTTTTTGCTATTACAACACTTCCTTGCCAGTGGCGTGGGAAGTAAGAATGAAGTCAGGTAGTTAGGTATTTTAAGTATATTTTCGGAAAAAGTACATTCAGAATTACCTATTTCTGAAATGTTTTTGAAGCAGTGGCTGCATTCGAGAAGTATTAAAAAAATGAATTTTCATAATATGAGGTTCACAATTCTCATTTTAACAAAGTTTTCAATTTTTTATTCTCAGTATACTACTCTTAGCAATCCATTCAACATTTCTGCAAGACCCGAGTGCTAATTTCTAATTTATAGACGGACAGACAATCAGGTGGAAATAAGTAACATGCAGTTTCGTAATGTATATCATACAATTTACAAGTAGTATCTAAAATTGGATTTTTTTTGTGATTACAATATGCCCTCGCCTATTGGTATGGTAAAACGAACAGCAGAGGCCATCATGGTATAGATCTGCTGTCAGAGCTTTTAAAGTGACTATGTTTTTTGCATTGCTTGGATGTTTTTTTGAAAAACTTTGTGAACGCCAGCTTTTCAATATTTACCTGCACCATCAGTGTCTCCACTCCCCGTAATGTCAGGCTGCTCCTGCTTGCACCCTCCTCCGCCGCCCCCGCTTGGGTCCTTAGGTGGCCGAGGCCTGTGCCAGCGACGGTGTGAAGCTAGATTGGCGGGACAGTTGAACACTTTATCACACTCTGGACATCTGTATTCTACATGGACTATGCGAGAACAGCGATGCTGCGCTAGCCCGAAAGCATCCTCGTACAGTTCTTTGCATAACCTAAAAAATAAATAGATTACTCATCACTACTTAGTATACAGCTAAACAGAGCGATTCAAAAAGCAGTGGCGGTATAACTAGGGCAGAATGTACATCAATAATTTACAAGATATGTTGCTATACACATTGGCCTTAAAATACCTCCTTTCTAACTAAACATATAAAACTAAATCATAGAGATTATTACTCTTCAACCACTAGAAAATTATTCTATCATTATTTTTGAATAACTTCATTTCAAGCAATTTGTTTCTCTTGTGAAACTTGTGTTAAATCACATCTTTTTGAAGAAGCTTTGAACTGAATATATGAGGCTCAATCCCCAAAGTTTATTACGTTACTGAAGTGTAACAATGAAAAATGTATAATAAACTGTGTTAGGAAGTAATGTCACATCACTACATTATTTGAAAAATATGCATTCTATTTCAGCAAGTGACTTATTTATCTACTTGTTTATTTTCAAGTCAGACAGATCATTTTTTATTGTTCTTCCTGCTCTAAAAATATTGCTGCTGTTTTTTAAAGACTATATATGACCATTAACAATCTGCTACATTATTTACAAGTTTTTTAAATGTGGTCATTACTGGTAAAATAGATTGAGGATTACTTTTTGTCGTTCTTTCTGCTCTAAAAATGTTGCCGCTGTTTTTTAAAGACTATTTGAACATTAACAATTTGCTACGTTATTGACTATTTTTTAAAAAATATTAAGTTTGTCATACAATATAATATGACTTATAGAGAAATTATTTCAACAACACCACTGTTACTTTCAAATCCAGACAATGGTATTTGGACCTGCGTATAGCAGTAGCTGCAAAGTAATGTAGTAGTTTTTGAGGTTTAACACGTTGCATTATGGCCACTTGGAAGAAAATCTGTAGACAATTGGAAATTACACGAATCGTTTGTGCGAAGATGGACGTTGAACAAAATTGACATGTACAGACTTTGTTTTAGAGGCTCATGGTTTGACAAAAATTACCAACTGTACAAGTTTGAAACAGCTTTGACAACATGGTGATGAACCTAATTGATAGACGATTTATCATGACTAAGATACATTAATCATATGATAATTTACACATGCATATATATTTATGGATCTTGTTTGATTATTAGTTGCTGGTTGAATTATTGCTCATCCGCATCCAAAATCAAAATAATACGAGTATCAGTTTGTATTCTCGAGCATTGAAGACGCACGTACTTAACAGTAATGAATGTCCAAAACTGTGGGGTGTGAAAAGATCACACACTTAAAACAAACTACAAACATGTATTTGGACAATAAGCAATGTATTTTTTGTAATTAACTTTCGACAATATTAGCAACTATGAAATGCTTGAACTTAATAGTTATATATTTGAGTTATTCAAGTTTTTAGAATGAGAGAACTATAAAAAATAATCATACCGAATCTCATTTTGCATCCGCACTGGGTGCAAATAAGATATTAAAACTAGTGACATGTTTCGATATTATTTTAAGTACTCGTACTTGATACTGGAAATTCATTCACCAGCAAACATATTAAACATATTTTATTTGCGATCTGACAACGACTCTATTCCAGTAAGATACATTACGTTATTACCTACAAACATAATCCCCGATGAGATTTTCAATCTTGGCCAGCTCCGCTTTGGCTTCTTCGGTGATTTCGACTACATTGAAAGCGGGATCGATATCTCCTTTTCTTACCACTAGATGCTCGTCGGGTCCCAACTCCCTTATTATAGTGCCAGAAACCTATAAAGTGATTGAAGTTAGGAAATTTTATTCATATCAGATTTAAAGGAACAATAAGTTTTAGTTGAAAATGCACCCATTGAAGATAAAAAAATATGAAATACATCCTTAGGTATCGGTAAATTACAGGAGAGCCCAAAATTATGTAAGATATGGTTTTCTACGTTTTTGGAAAAGCACTTCTTCAAAAGTAACCTATATCAATAAATAGGCTCACTGCTTTTAATAACAAGCTTTATTTAATTTGGTCTGTTTGTATATGTGGGATCAATCTTGGGATGAATTTTGAACCAGTTAACCTTAACGAATACAGCTGAAGTTTTGAACAGACATTTAGTTTCCGTAACAATACAAAGTAAATTAACTGCCGCCATTTTGAATCCAAATGCGGATGCTACAAAAAGCGATCATTTTCATAGTAACCCTTATGATATGGATATCACATGAAAGCTTTTATTGAGCTGTTCATGAAATAAATTAAAGATTAAAAAAATCCACATGGAAATATTTAAGAAGGTTCTTCGTCTCAAATTATCAAGTAAAAAAGTTAAGTTTTGACCGCAGGATGGAAAAATAGTGGAAGATGACTTCATTTGAGGACTCGAGATAAGAGCTACTTTATTGTTTAAATATTTCAAACCAGAAAATTTTATGTACAGCTAAGTAAAAGCTTGTTTATAAAAATGTCTTTTTTTATTTTATCTATCACTACCAGGCAGATAGGCTAATAAGCCAAAAATAGACCTGGTATATTTAAAAAAACTATAAAGCAATGGTATAAGTTGCCTACAGAAGTATTCAAAGTAGTAAATATCTTGAATAAGACTTTCTCAGAAAATCGCAAGAATTGGGCACTTTTGAATGTATTTTTGGGCGTTGATTACTTCAAAGACTTTAACCATCTTTAGCTTTTTGCTGTTATTTTAGATTTTTAGTGACGCGGTCTCTAATATACCAAGGGACACACGTGCCTGAGGCACCTGAGATACGTTTAAAATTTTATCTACAACCGGCTATAGGGTAAGTCAAAGTTATCGTAAAAAGTAAATAAATTGACCGCACTATACTACCTAGCAACAAATAAATAGAGACACGTGGTCAAACGTAATGTGTGTTAATGTGAAACGTTTTCTAATATCGTTTGAAGTTTTCTAATAAAACTATTCATACCTCTTCGCAATTGGTAACTTACCGGTGAGCTATTATCTTCATCAAAATTCAACTTCCTGGTGGCTTTGGTCCTCTTTCCAGGCGTTGTCGCTGTCACCTGAGCCTTGTGTTTCTTAGGAGGTGGCTCAGGAGTGGGCGTTCTCCTTCTGTGAATGCTCACTGGAGATCTCTTTCCTGGACTGGGCGTACATGGTGGAGTTATGGGAGCAGCGGGCGTCTGCTGCGTGTCACGGCTACTCTTCAAACTCAGGTCCAGTGGGCATGGTAAGACTGAGCTCGAGGTCAACTCCAAAGGCTCAGTGTATCGGCTAAAGCAAAAATGCGTATGTGCAGATAGGCTCAAGTAATAGATACCCGTAATAGGCATAAGAATTTTTTTACAATCCAGCATTATATTGACTAAGAATTCAGCTTTTTGTCATACAGTTCGCAAATGTCCAAGCTTAACAATTCCCATTGTCAATAAAACATTCTATAAATTATTTTTTTATTTGCATAGCTGGCATTTAGTTTTTCAAACAAAAGGTGCCCGAGTTACAGATAAAACAAAGACTACCAGGCATACAAATAGACCAACGGAAATGGAATATTAAAAAAATCCGGTGTCAAAATTTTTCGCGAATACAATGCATGGTCATAACGTCAAACAGTCCTTAGCCAGATCAGCTGTCGACTGACCGAGTACCCTCGAAATGACATGGTTCTTAACAGATTTACTCGTCTTTGTTCAACTTTTATATAAAACTGAGCGCAAATACCCATAAACATTTTGAGATACATTTGTCATTAAAATGCAACGATTAGCCATGTGCGAAACACTATCATTAATATCAGCAATTTTCACATGAATATAATGAATCCCCAAGGGTATAATCAGTGACATTCAATTTAAGAAGAATAACAATTTCCAGATAGTCTTGCATAGCTGCATGTTTCTGTTTTCCTATTATGTTAGTATTTAATGGAATCAGATGCAATATGGATTCACTGATACGATTTATCTATATTTATACTGATTACGACTGTTTTAGTATTAAAGTTTTGATATAATAGTCATAACAACAGGTATATAGGATAATAATGATTATACCTTAGTAGTACAAGTAGCTTACAGCAGAAAATGAATGATTTGAAATAGCAGAGAGGCATTTCAGAAACATCGCAAGTATAAGCATATATTAATTGAAAATGAAACGCATCGAGCAGATACTACATAGGAAAATATTTTCTATACCTGAAAAATCATATTACAAAGTTAATAGCAATACAGAGGTGCGGATGTTTTGGTGAATGTGGTGGACATCACGTTATGAAAATTATGGTGAATGTGCATCCTGATATTGAAGGCTAGCGTTGTAGTTACATTCACCATATCTGCAAACTGCTTTGAATCCATATACGATTCATGCGTTGTTTAAGTTGTAAGCTTCCGATACACTTAAAATTCGGTAGTATTTATAGCTGTAATAAGTACTGACTCAATACAATAAAATTTTATGAGCAAAATGCCTTTGCTTCTTAGTAAATAATAATTTAAGAGGACATGGTTAGCAATTAACAAGAACAATATCGAAGGATCTTTTCGTTTTCCTATTAGAGATTTCCTCATGTTCTAAAACATTTTTATCATGATGTAGAAGTGAAATATCAAATATAACTGCTTTGATTTTTTAAACTAACTGCGAGATCTAGCAAAAAGGTTTACGAAATTCGAGCAAGAAACCTTTTTGCCCACATCAAGGTTGCACAGGTATTGAGTAATTAACATAATATGTAGTTATATAACAAACCCTTTCATAAATGTGGTCAACATTTTATTTTACACAAATTTCGGATTATTTTGTGAAACTATTTGGTGAACGAATTCTCCAAAACTAGTTTTTCTTCGTTATTTTTCAGGCCTTCATATCGCATATTATCTCAGGACAGGACCGACATGTCAGGTCACTCAAATATTTCGACAAAATCAAAGTGGTATCGATTTCGATATTATCCCATAAATTTAATTAGTTTGATTAAACAGTTTAAAATTTCTCTTCAAACAATAAAGAACCAAAGTTTAATTAATAGACTTTCTGAACTAGCTAATTTTGCTTCTTAAATTGGATAAAAAAACGGATAATCTGAACTTTTATTTTTTTGATAAATCTACCTCGTCATGTTCAATTAGACCATAAGTAGAGCCAGATTTGAAAAAATAGTACCCTTACTCACGAATTTGGCTCACAGCAATGTATTTTTTTTAAATATTGTTACTACTTGAAAGTTCACAGGAATGAATTATATGCACAAACAGCATGCTTGTCTGAGTCATTTAAAAATGAATATTGAAACTGGAAATATGTTAAGATTTTTTCAATCTAGTCTTTAAGTTAAACATAGAGGAACTGCAGCATATTTGGAATACTGGTTTGTTTTTTGGAAACAAATTGCAATATAAACGGGATAGTAAAATAAAAAATGCACTAAATTATTCGGAAATCATTAAATTTTTATGACATTAACAATCAAACAAAACAAAAACCAGGAACCCCATCAAAATATTCATCAAAGTAAAAAACTCCAAAAGCACAAATTTACTTAGGGTGCAGGTAATTTTGAATAGAGTATTCCAAACCATAACCCACCTTTTTTGAAAAATGTTTACACTTTTTCTAGGAAACTAATAAATTTCTCAACTTTGTAACCGTTTTACAAACTTAATCTGTTTAACAAAATAGCTTATAATTATTAGTTATTAAGCAATCAGTCACAATAGTCACAAATCAGTATTTAGCCTGAACAGTTTAGTGTTCTTAGTTACTGTTTTTACCACAAACCACCAAACATGACATCCTAACTTTAAACTACTTTTCACATTTTTTATTCTAAATATATTGACAAACTCAAAATAAAACTGTAAACTAACAAGGACACAACATTTTCCAGTTAAAAGGCTTCTTCAAACTTATGAGAGCTCAAGTTTCCCTATGATAAGCGGTTCTCTAGTGACTTAGCCAACCAAGAAAATAATGACTGAATAGTTATGTAGCTCCGCAGAATTCAAACAAAACTTCATAATGAAAGATCCTCTTAAGTGTTCCACTACCCTATACATTCCGGCCATTGTAAAATTCTCTTGATCGTATGAATATTTTTATTTTGACATATAATTATTCTTGGAATATTTTAAAGAAAATATATGATCTGATTAATTTGAAAATCTGCGCCCTGGCAACGGAAAATTAAAAAATAAAGCAAAAAAGCTGAACTGTGTGCATGTGCAGAAGTTATACAAATATATGCTAGTACCAACCTGAGAAAATGCTGATGCAACCCAAAAAATGCGACGGCCGCAGCACTGGTATCGAAGCACGAAACATCTTGCCTATGCAGTGGTCGATGATGGTTGAAGGGCGCGTGGTCCATGGGGGTGCCTCGAGGGCCCGCCAGCATCGGCATTGCCCTTCCGCAATTGCACGCCGACTGAAGGGCTCGAACGGACGCGGACGCCAAGCGACGCTCGTCGCCGGGATGCCTCGACGCTATCAAAAGGTGGGGGGAACATCATTGCGATTGGGTGAAACGAGATAGAGGGTGGAGTCAGAAGTGGGATACAGCCAGCAACGGTGATCTTGAAGAGCCTACGGTAGATGGTAAAGGGGTGTGATGCTGTGCCACGAAGGAGTGCCGAAGGTTGGTGGAAGAACTTAATCGTGGGAATGAGGGTGTGATGTAACGTACATGTTTTAATTGACACGATATGTAATTCCTAGCTTTAACTGCGAGAGAACTGCATTCGGGAAGATTTCCTATGGTGGAGATACTTCAGATGTGATTATGATCATATCAACACATTATGCAGAATTGTATGCAACATGTCCTAAGGTGGCTTCTTTAGTCCATTGTATTATTCTTGGCAACTTGGCCAATATTTATATCGTTGCTAATAGCTAATGCATATTTTCAATCAATGCAAATGCGGTAGCAGGCGGCAACGTATTAGGCTATAATGGGCATGCTTGCAACCAAAAAGCAAAAAAAATCCTCATTTATATTTTCTTGTATTAAAAAGAATGTCTAAAGCAGACATTCAAGATGTTAGTAAAATAATGTTTCCTTCCTGCTAATTATAAGTTGACAGAAAAAGTCAGTGATTCAGTTTTTCAAAAGAAGGTTTAATATTAGAAATTGCCACTGGAAGTTCTTTTTCTATATTTAGACGAGATCTAAAGTGGGTAGATCATTAAAGATTTTTGTACAGTCCAACTGTTGAAAAGTTCATGAGTTACATTATCTTAAGTGGAATAAAAATAAATTTTTCCACTTGAAAATGGATAAATCCGTTTGAATAGAATAAAATTACAATGATCGTCAGAGAAACTTTTGAGTGATTACCTTGGATTTCCTAACCAGAATAATAAAGTTTTGTAGGCCTCCATGTTTTTTGCGCCGCAGTGTTATGATAATTTGTTGCGTCTCTGTTGATGTTGATAGTTAGTTCGTAGCGGTCACTGTTGGCGTTTTCAATGTTAATTGTCTTGATATACAGGGTGATTCAAATTCGACCCTCACCATTGAGATCTCGACAACTGTAAGAGATAAAAAGTCGCTTAAATGGGGACAAAGTTTCGTAATTAGATAATCAACAAAATGCCGTTCAGAAAGTTTCGAAATTCAATGTACTTCCGGAGAGAGACGAAAAAAAACGGATTTTCTCAAAATCGCTTTTAATTTTTTCCTGACCATATCTGTAGTGGGATTTCAAAATAAATTGCACATTACTATTGCCACTTTTTTCCTTTACAAGAAGGCATAATCAGAATTTCCATATGACGTTTCGTCTCTTGTCCTACAGCATCAACTTTATTTTTTCTTATAGACACCATATTAGATTTTTGCACAGATGAATAGGATCTTTAATTCTGATCCAAAAAATGTAAATATGTCATACACTGACATTGCCAAGCCTTAGTTATTCCAGAAAAACTGAGGTTCCTAGGTAGGCCTTGAAATTACCAGACTTCATTTGTTTTGCATGCCGGACCAGACCTCAAATTGAACATAGCAACATAATGTGTAGTTTGGAAGACTGAGAAGAAGAGAGATAAATCGAACAATGAACAATATACAGAGAAGAGTCAGGTTATGCCTACAAAATAAGGGACAACATTTGCTATGATTTACCTTTGCTTATTTATGTAGTTACCGTTAACAAAACGTTCATTTTGCCATCTTGTTGTAACAATAAGAACATGCAATTTATTTTGAAATCCCATCTCGAATAAAGTCAGGATGTCTGATATAATTTCAAGGCCTACCTAAGAAACTCTGCTTTTTTGAAATAGGGTTTGGCAATGTCAATGTATGACGTATTATACTTTTTTGGAATAAGTATTCGAAGCTCTAGTCACTTATGCAAAAATCCAATATGGCGTCTAAAAGAAAAGATAAGGTTGATGGTAGAGGACAAGAGAAAAACGTCATACTGAAATTCTAATTATACCTCTTGTAGAGGAGAAAAAGTGGCAATGTTAATGTGTAATTTATTTTGCAGAGTCCCACTACAAATAAATTCAGTACAAAATTAAATCGATTTTGGGAAAATTCGGTTTTTCGGCACTTTGAATTTAGACACTTTCTAAGCCGCATTTTGTTGATTCACTTACAGTTTCTGAGATCCCAATTGTGAACGTCGAATTTGAAACACGAAATGCAACCATAAATTCTAATTACTACAGAAGTAATTTTGTAACTTGTTTCGAAAGACCAATAGCCAATAGCTCATCCCTATATAATCCCATGGATCTATTTTATGACAACCACCGAATTAAACAATTCAATTAATTTTGGAGCCCATAAAATTGGCACGGACCGGGACCATCTCACCAACGGAAATGATACATCAAAAAAATCGGTAACGAACAAACGAACATCGAAAATCAAACAGGAAAAGCAGCCGGGTGTTGTGTTTAATTAAAAACGTAAAAAATCCTTAGTGGGGATTCCACATAAACAAATGGAGTTTTGACTCCATGGGCGTTGTTAGTAATTCAAGGGTGGGTATAGGTTGCTCACGTCCATTTAAATATTTGAGTATTGCTGTTGTATATGAGTACTACAGCTTTTGAAACGACTTTATTCATCATGATGCTCAACTGGAAAAGACTCTTGTTAATTAATGTACAGCTGCTTGTCACTTTCGCAGTTGCCGATTCTGACAGTAGATGACGCTCGTACATATTTCTGTCGTACCTATAATGGAGGTTATTTTGCTCTACCTACTTTCTTTCTTTGCCCTACCTGGACCGTACTGATTATTACCAATAAGTATACATCAGCGACGTACACGTTGGTGACGAAAGCATTTTTAGAAAATTCATGATATGAACAACAAATTATCATTGACAGTCGTTTCTTTTGCACCAACCTAAAACGGAAACAAATTTGAGAAAATGTACTGCTAATCGTAATTTCTCAATATTTCTGTTTATAGAATATAACAAAATATTAAACTTCTCATAATTGTTCAATATGATTAAAACCTATTCAAACGAAGTGTTATAATAATGTAAATAATTACTTGTTTGAGAAATAAAATAGTATATAATATAAGCTTTATTGGGGTTCTACAAGAAACTATCCACTTTGATTCCGCGCAATTGTTTCTCCTGATTCCAAGCCGCGTTGCGATTGGTTATTGGTAGTCCAGAACAGATCTGAGATGAGTTTTGTCTCTACCTTCTTCTATCCACACACAACACACACGCTATAGCACCCCTGTCAAAATCACTAAGATGGTGATAAGTTGGACGTCTTAGAACTCGAGGCATTTTGTTATGCTTAACAGTAGTAAATGAAAGGGCAATAACTAAAAATATCTGAACTACTTAGCTCCCAGAAACTGCTTTCTTGACAAAAACTCAGAGATAATATTTTAACAAAGGTGAAGAAAAACAAAGATAAAACGATGATATTTTTTAAATACTCGTATGATCATTATGTTGTAAAAAAACAAGTTGAAGAAATTATTGTCATTGTATATTTAAAATTCTTCTTTAATCTAGTAAACGTTTCAATCATGAAGGCAATCTTTTACAGTACAATGAAATATATTTGATTTACATTTACTACATTACAGAAAAATTTTAAATACATGTGGTTTCATTGGCTAGACAACAATGGGAGGCTATCGACATGAAACCCACAAGATAAGTTTCAGATGTTACATTATTCTTGTATTGTTAAATGAATACATAGCACCAAGTGAAGATCGCCCAATAACTATAAATACGATTCCTTAAATAATACTGAATTATATCGCTTTTTAGGTGTTAAGGTTGAAAACATACAGGTACGACTTTGGAAGAAAGGTAGAAAGTTCATTCACAAAAAGATCCACACCGCCAAATCTATGTTGACAGTTATTTTCGCAGAATTTCAATCATCCAAAGAAGACTAATATGAACATAGATCGATAGAAATAGTTTATTATTGTTCCAGCATCTAGTGCCCAATTACTGGATTCTGAATTTTACCGCTACTCAGAAAACATGGCTTTCTTTTTTTCAACTTTCTCATTCTTAAGAACTTCCTGGAAACATTTGGAGGAAAGTAAACTTGTTGTTTCAAGGAAATATTTCTCCAATCTAGTGTATTTTATACCCATGTAAAGAGCTATTCACGTTCTTCATACAATCATGAGTTCTTCTATTCATGATAGTCGATTCAAGAATATTTCTTTATATGAGGGCAACGACTTTCCCATTCATAAGAATTTCTTAGAAACATGTGTTGAAGCACACATTAAACACACTTTGAGATCAAACTTTCTTGAAAGTATGACCTCGGTTCGAGATCACGAATGCGTGGAGGGAAGTAAACTCATTGTTTCAAGAAAATATTCTTCCAATTTGCTGATTTTCTCAAAATTCCCTGAAAACATTCATTGTGTACATTTTATATCCTTGAACAGAGTTTCCCACGAGATTGGCATGGTATGCGATGTGTTATAACTTTTGTTATCAAAGTCAAGATGGTTGATTCAAGATTTTTTTTTAGTGTGAGTAAAACTGGATTGCTCTCTATTTCTCATTCTTAAAAACATTTATTCTGGTGAAACGATATGCAGCACTGATTTTCCTGGGCTTTTTTTCCGAGAGACAAAACTCATCTCAGATCTGTTCTGGTCTACCAATAACCAATCGCATTGCGGCTTGGAATCAGGAGAAACAATTACGCGGAATCAAAGTGGATAGTTTCTTGTAGAACCCCAATAAGGCTTATATTATATACTATTTTATTTCTCAAACAAGTAATTATTTATATTATTATAACACTTCGTTTGAATAGGTTTTTATCATATTGAACAATTATGAGAAGTTTAATATTTCTGTTTATAGAATAACCACATTATTAATTTTTTTTTCTTACTACTTGGCAATAAAATTTCGTGAGGACGTTATCGTTTCATTCTTGATATAAAAAATAACTTAGAACACCAAAAAGTTACTAAGAGCAACGAGATTTTTCACTGACACATTAATGGAAACACTTTCTCCAGATTAATATTTTATATTTAATGTAGATTATATAATAATTTCAGTATTCAAATATTATTTAGGATGAAGTGTACGCCTATGCAAAACGATAGAGGGTGTCTGGCTGCTTGTCCAAGGGGGGTGTTTGGTTGGACATCTGCGCAAGGGAATCCCGCTAATCGTACGTGTTTCACGGATGGTAATTGCTTAAAAACCGTTACGAGATTGCCCACGTTTGAGGTTTCATTGGTAGCTGGAGTGCTTTCGATTTCGCTCAACTACGCCTTCATCAGTGCACTTCAAACATTCCTACTCTGATAATTTCCTTGCATTCTTGGAGATAGTTAAACTGAGCGTTTATTCATAGTTGCAAAAGGTATTCTTAGGGCACTATGGAAGTTGAATTTGTGAAAACGACCAATTCAGTACGCAGATTTCAGTCCAAGCAGTCAATATACAATTTTTTCCTGAAAATTTCATAGATATACTGAGTGACAAAAAAAAGGTAAACACCTACGTATGTTTATTAGAATTCAAGAATTTTTTACATATCGATTTATCTTGCCATGAACAACAAGTGATAAAATGGTCAGGTTTTTCTGTTAAGTTTTTGTGGTGGCTGCAGTCAGTTGTTGAATCAAGCTGAAAATTTAATCATTTTACTAGTAAGTGACACTAACATATATGCCAAAAATTATCAAAATCGGATGAATATATAGGTGTTTACCTTTTTCTTGTCACTCAGTATATTTTTCCGATGATAATTTACGGGTATCTTTCTAGCCCCAGCGAAAAAGCAGCCATAAAATATAGCAATAGATTCAAGTCTGGAAGTTAGACACCCTGAAATATTTTATTGCAAGTTATTCAAAAACATGCCAGATAGAAAGCGACTTGTCGGATGATATCGCGTACTCATCAAACGTTTGGTGAATGAAGTTGAAGAGTCATTTGCAAATTTAAGAAATGATGTCTTGTTCAACTTTCAGGTTACCCATTGGAGGTGGTCTGAGCAGTTGAATCCAAGAGAAGGTAAGTCAAACATATTTATTGTAATTTTGTTATTTTATAAACTTATTGCTCTGGCGATTTGATAACAAAGTACTAATGACACCTAATTGATTTCCCAATCAATAGAATTATTTTTAGAGAATTATGCAGAGCAAGCAACTCCAGATTATTTCATTCATAATTTAAAATTTTCCTAATAGAAGTCTTTTTGTTTTATCTTCAGACATCTTGAAATGAAACATGTACAAAAACAATAAAACGTTACAAAAACATATGAGCATATTTTTTGATTTTTTAAATATAAGCAATGAATCCGCTTGTTTTAGAGTACCTGCTAATAGGTTAAAATAGTAAATTCCGGCACACCCGGGAGACTTCTTGCAAAACATGTGAGAAAAATTGTCAACATAAAGGTGTTTTCTACTTCTAGTATGATGGCCACGAATATCAGAAAGCCTTTTGAAAGTTGCTAAACTTAGCTTTGTATACAAGGAGCTTAAAAAGATTTATTCCCTCAACCGTTAATATATGATTCTCAATAAATGTATTGCGACATGACTCAATAGTTCCTGGGTTGAAAATTGAACACACAATTCTTTTTTTGAAGGAAAAAACTCGAGGCCATTCAAAAGCTTGTCCCCATGAGAGATGGTGTATGAAATAGTAAAGTAAACATAGGAATAATAATGGGTCAGCTAAGCGTCGCGAGATAAATTTCGCCTCAATGCGACCAAGTTAAAGTATGATTTATTTGAATCAGCCGAATCGATATTATATGTCATTGGATAGCTGTCTGTACCTTTACTTCCTGTTGGTACTGCCCAGTCAACTGGGTAAAAACAGTTTTGCGATGATTAATAATTAAACGGTTAGCATTACACTAATAACTGGGCTGTTCTGTGACAGATTTGATTTTTGTGATCCTTTCAGCTTTATTCCGGGTAGATATTTTTAGTGTAGTGGCATCGTCGGCATACATGAACAGACCGCCAACCCTTATGATAGATGGAAGGTCGTTCATGTAAGTATAGCGAAAATAGGAGCGGACCCAGGATACTACTAGGGCTCTAATATATGAAATTCCATTGCCAATTTTCACCAAAAGTTTTCTATTTGAAATAAATGAGCAGATCCAATCGTCCTAAATCATATGCATTGAGTATATGCAACGTATCAACGGCCCTGGATAGGTCTATGAACAGTGCAGAAACCAGGTTTGCAGCATCAAGATTATTATATATTGTTTGCATTTGCTCCGAGGTTGCACTTTCAGTGGATCGCGACTTTTTGCATCCGAGTTGGGAAGGGGGAATTATGTTATATTTAGTAATAAAGCTTTCAAGTTTGAACAGCGGATTCCGTTATTTTGGAGAAGCAAAATAAAAAAGCTGTGCATCTATAATTGTCCACAAGTAATTTATTGTGCCTTTTAAAAATGGGTGTGATTTTTGACAGCTTCAGCTATTCAGGACAATGGCCCGAGAGCACCTGCTTATTAATCAATAATGCTAACTCAAACGATATTCCCCCAGTGCAATTATTCATCAAACGAATGGGTTGCCATCAATACCAGTTGAGTTCTTATTTTTTAGGGGCATTATTATGTCAAAAATTTCAGCCGCAATAAATTCCTGGAAATAAAAGGTATTATCTAAGATGTTGCTATTCGGAGTGCATGGGAGTATATATAAATTGCTGGTGTTGAAATTCATTTTCAATAAAATCGGAAATTGTACGTTAACTAAAAGCAACATCTTCAAACAACACCACTAGTTTCTAGTGTCCTTGCCCCGCACATCTGTTCGTGAAGAACCCTATACCTATACGTCATCGCCCTATATTAACACCAGTATACATATACATGCGACCTCCTTATCACTTCCAAACAAACTACCCTGTCATTAACCGAGGAAGCAAGTCAGCAAGCAAGCAACCTTTCCAGGTGGGGCAACAGGTGTGCTAAAACGGTAGCCACGTATTCACAGTTAAACGCACACAATGCAAGGCACCGATCTTAGAGGCGGTTGACGGATTCCTTTGAATTGCACCCTCTGTAATGTCCCTGTCCCTCCAAGGTTGTTTCCTTTCTCGAGCGGAACTGTAGCACCTGATCGCCGAGATTTGTGTAGTACTTGTAGGGAAGAATAAGCACGTGGTATTGTTTAAGAAAAGGAGGCAAGTGTCTTACGACTGAAGTTTAACGTTTTTGACATGGTACTGCAGCATTGGTGTTCACAGATTAATGGGTAATTTTTTTATACTCGAACCACCACATATACTCGTCAATGTCGGTTCCAGCCTTTGAGCCAGGAGAGAATCACTTAGTCAGCTAAAAAAAAGCCAATTTCAAGCAATGAAAACATCAACCGATCAAATTTGCTTAGAAATAATTAGGGATTTCATCCATCAATGTCTACCAAAGTATGCAGATGAAATTCCGTACGAACGGCACTGGTGGAAATTAAAAGAATGTAGTACATTAAAAATGCCTTAAGACATGTATGCCAAATTTCAAGACATCTTTAGTGGTATTACAGATATTAGTAATGGATAATTTGTTTTCAAAAACTTTACCACCCTGTATATCAAAGGTTAAGACGTTTAAGATGTACGTTCATATAAGGTTTTTTTTCTTAAAATGGACCCAAAAAGCGTCCTCTAACCTGAGAAGTGATAAGGTTTCTCGTGTAAATATTCAACTCCTCCTGCCTACCTCATCCTAAACATACAATTTCTAGAATTCTTTGTTAGTTTTTTTTTTATTTTGAAAATGGCTCAAATTGAAATATTAAAGGTTCTTCAGCTTCAAGAATGTTAACCCGCACTTCACCCCAGATGGATAGAATTTCCAAAATGTCTTTGCACGTGCTCATTTAGGTTATATCAAATAACCAAATATAAAAAAACACAATTTGTATCCCCAAACTTGAAGAATAACACTTTTACCCCTTAGTTCAATTCCTCAAGTTCTATTGTCGCAGTGAAAGCTAAACTTAGACCATACAAACAGGAGTAGGGATATTTGCAAGGGAAGAACTGACTCATCCTACTTGACTCCATTTTTTATTGGATTAGTCACAAACATTGCTGTTTAATGATCGTTTTCCTATGGAAGTCGACTGACTTCGATGGATAGTTCCCAAGCCGTAATCGCAGCCCTCTTTTGGTTGATGACATTTCACATTCCAATATCTGTGTCGACCTCCCCCATTGCTCTCTATAAACCAAGTTATGTCGAGATCGCGCAGCAAATGGCTCTGAAATAACACAACAAATTGAGTTGTTTCGATAAAAATTCCACACGCCTGTATACGGATGATGTTATATATCACTCCATAGCATGGCTGTTATGTGGGTATACCCTCAGATATAGCTTCTAAGACAGACTTTCTTATTGAGTGACAGTATGCTTTTAGTTAATATTATACTGATAGTTTTTTTAAATTTGATTAGCAATAAAAATTGATAAACATTCTGATCGACTAGTCATCTTTGTCGTGAAGTAATAAAATTGTTAATTTTGTTAAAAAAAAGTATACATAAACGGCAATCAAGAAAATTAAGATTACAATGATAATGATGTTTGCCCTAGTCGGACATTATCAAGTTGCTGTTCCACGTGGAGAAGATTACAACAGACCACGACTGATGACCAAGCCTGCGACCGAAACTCGAGGTTAGTGTCACAACACTCATGTAAAAAATGTTTCACAGTCGCTATGGAATATTAAAGCCCACACTCGATGCAGTTCATCAAAGCGCTTTTCTACCAATATACTAAAGGAATTTGCCTCTACCTTACTTGCATTGCCTTGCCAACGCACCGCGTCCTTCTGAGCCCACTGGATAAATTTGCCGGGTCTTTGAATCTCATTCCAACATGGTCTTTGCTAACACTTTTCATACTTTAAGAATCTGGAACGGTATTTAGGCTTTGCTTTTATGGCTGCTCGACGGTCCCTCATTTTTTTATCGGCTTAAAAGACGTAAGAAACAGCTCAGCATGTTCAAAAGTGTGTCATTTATTACTGCGCAACGTAGGCATCATTTACTTCACTCTGCGTTATAATATATAAGTTATCGTTGAAAATTATTATTAAAAAAAAAAATTCCAAAACCCTGATTGAAAAATAGGTATTATCAATTAAGATTTTATTCTTTAGCAAGGATGTATTTAAAACAGATACATACTTAGTTTTTAATTACTAAGTGAGAAAAATTGCAGCCGTAACTTTTGTCGTTCCCTGCTTTCTTTCATCCCTTCTTCTTATTACGAAAGACATCAATAGCTTTAGCAATAATTCTATTCCGTTTATTTATTTTTTTCTACCAGCGTGCTGTACGTACTCACTTCCAACACGCATCTGCGTGCAGAAAGTAGCACTTTTCCGCACGCATAACTTTTACAAGTTTTCATAATCCAAATAACTATTCTTTTACTTTTATTGTTGCTAATAATTATTATAAATGAATTATACTTGTTGTTGATGATGATTTTACAATTAGTAAATACAATAATATTTAAAGTTCTGGGTTTATTACTTTCTCGCGCTGCGCTGTTAGGAAAAATATTATACCTATCGCATGCGAAAAGTTTATTTTCCGCACTTGACGGCTTACTTTCCGCACTTGTTAAGTAAATAACTATTTTCCTTAGCTTTTCCCGCTATCCTTTTCAAATTTGGAAAGGGGCTCTAGACGCATAATTGATAGTAGATCAGCTGAGAGGGTCTAGTTTACACGACTTAAACCAAAAACTGCACATGATGCTTTCGTCCGTCCGACCAAAAGACTGCCAACCATTTATAGTTGTTTCGTGCTTTTTGGCTACTCATCAGCATGACCTGAGCTTGGTCTCTCGTCTCTGGGACAACGAATGAAAGTGTCGTAAGTAGCCTCTATCCAGTAGATACGGTCTATCTAAATAAGACAGCATAAAGAACCATTAAATGTGGTCTAAATGTCGTACCAAAAACTTTGTTCAGTTTCAATCAAACATATAAATAAACCACTCTCATAAAAAAGGCGAGCCTAGAATCTTGCCGATTCAGGAAATATATTTATAAGTAAGTATAAAGGCTTATTTCCAAATAATAATGAAAATTGAAGCACTGCGCAATAAATTTTTCAACTATCAAAAGACATTATCGTGGACTGATAAGTAACATGTGACTCGATGTGCGCAGGCGTTTCAAAGGCGTGGTAAATACGTGCCTAAATTAAGCCGGGTTTACACGGGTCAAGTAAACGGTCAAGTTACTTGCCTTCGCACTTGCGTGGTTGCATTCTACTTTACTTGATTCACAACTTGATCCAAAAAGCGCATTTCCACGTAGTCCAGTAGATGTGCAAGTCGACAGTTACAAACACGGTGGAAAGTCGCATTGTCATACGAAATTGTGTTATTAATCTCACAAATATTCTCCTGGAAGAAGTGGAAGAAGTTTTGGAGGAAGAGAGAAATCCTGAAAAAAGGATATGGTGTCGAGAATGGCTTACACGGAGAGAAAGTCAAGGAGCTTCCATTAATTTAAGGGAACTGAGATTTGGAAATCCTAAAGAATCCAGAATGATGCTCAGAATGACTGCTGTAAAATTTGACTATTTGTTAGGCTTAATAACTCCATTAATCGAACGAGAGGACACTATTATGGGAGACGCTATCACACCAGAAACAATGTTGGAAGTAACCTTGAATTACCTAACAACTGGTAATAATTACAGCAACCTTTCTCATCTCTTCCGAGTTTCTAAATCAGCGATATCTATCATGATTCCCATTGTTTGTTAAACTGTGTATGACTGCTTAAAGGATTTCGTAAAGGTATGTGAATAGATAATAATTGAACATTTTTAAAATTTTATTTAGGCTTCTTAATAAAACAACAAACAAATTCAATTGTAACATTTGGTTTTTGTAAAGTTTATTTAAACTGGCTGCAATGAACTTGCCAAAAGCTTCATGGTCACTGATGAATTCTGAAGTTATTGTTTCCTGGAGTTTTCGGACCTCTGCAACAGCTGCGGTTAGTGCTTCTATCCGAGCTTTTTTATTTTTTGATCTTGCTTCTACTCGAGAACCTCTTTTACTAGTCGATTCTTCTCGGGAGCATGTTTTGCTGGTCGAAGGACTTATAGGAGTCTGCGAGAGATTTGGAACCGGTTCTTCAATGACTTGTTCCTCTAGCAGACCTTGTTCATTTTCGCTAGGTGGAGCGATTTGTGTTTCCTAAAATGAATGAAATACTAATTTAATATTTCTCATTTGCTTAATTTTTATTTTTTGTTTATTTTGACAGGTTTCAGATACACATGATGCATGGAAATAAGTTGCGAATGGGTTTGAAGCAAGATGGAATTTTCCTTTCTGTTATGGTGCCATTGATGGCAAACATGTCTTAATCGAGACTCCCCCACATACTGGAAGCGAATACTTCAACTATAAAGGCTCCTTCAGCGTGGTACTAATGGCAATTGTAGATCACAATTAGTGTTTTTCTTATTTTAAAGTAGGGACAAAAGGATCTAGGGCAGATGGTGGTATTTTTCAAAACTGCGAAATTTCAGGAGCTCTAGAAGAAGGATTGCTACCCGATGATTACTTTTTAATTGGTGATGATGCTTTTCCACTAAAACCCTATCTACTTAAACCATATAGTAGATACCGACTACCTCTTACCGATGAAGAAAAGATTTTCAATTATCGGCTTAGTCGTGCCAGAAGAATAGTGGAAAATGGTTTTGGAATCTTAGCAAGTAGATTTAGTGTTTTTGAAACAAAAGTAAAGATAAAAGTTTCCTCTGTGAATAAACTGGTTAGTGCTGCAATTATTGTACTTCACAACTGGCTACGAAAAATGTCACCAGATCAATACTTCAATAATGCACAACTGGTTGATTGTGAAAACCAACACACGCTGGCGAAATAATACCTGGACGGTGGAGACAAGAGATACGAGAACTGAGAGGAGGGTGTCGGAAACACATGCGAAACAAAATGACGGATTATTTTATTTCTGAAGAAGGAGGCAACGAAACTTTATAAATTAGTTACCAGTTATTAAAAAAATACAGTTTTGACTTACTATGCTTTTCGTTTCATTTTCAGCTGTGTAGCTATCCATTATTTCTTCCATTTGTCGGAACCACTTGACAGTTGGAACGTATATATCATCCGGTTTACCTCCTGATTTCTTAGACTTTTTAACCTTCAACTCTTCCTGATTATAGGTTGTTCTCATTATCTTTATTTTGTCCACTTCAGCTGCTTTTCGCATGTTTTTATTGCGATAATTTACACTACTCTTCTTCCATAAACACTCTTTTTCACTATAGAGTTCAACAAAATGCATGATTTCTTCTTCTGACCACTTCATCTTGTACAAACTCAACCTTAATTCACAATTTGTAGTATACCAAAATCACCAAAATTATTTGCTTATCTGTGATCAAAATGGGTAAAAAATCTGAAAAAATACAGAGTAAACTTATTTACTCTTGCTTTTTCTGTTTACATTGGTAAAGCAGAGGGTCAAGTTGCCGATCCAGTGAAGCGGGGCTGGCAGTCAAGTAAAGTTACTTATTCACCGTGCAGAACCACTTGACTTGCCTCGTCACTTGACACAAGTCGCTACTTTCCTTGACCGAAGTTGTTTAGACGATGCAAGTAGAAAAAAATACTTGACATTACTGCTTAACCTGACCGTTTACTTGAACCGTGTAAACCCGGCTTTACTATATATTTGCACTTGGTAATAATGGAGTTTCAGAGAATCTAGAGCCAATGAGTTCGGGGGTCCGCTTTAGGAGAGGTTTCTAGTTTAGGGCACTTTTATGTATAATTCATTTGATAATGGCAGATGTAACGGTGAAATAAAATTTGATGCATAAATAATCGCTGTAGCTTATTACCGAAACAAGAAAGCAGGCGGTTTGTGCAAATTGATGAAGAGAAATTTTATCAAGATGAAGCTCCATCATTAACTACCGTTATGATTGCTGCACATAGTTACGGAACATTCTCCACTACCCATATACAAAAAATCAAATCAATATAATATCAGCCCCGATTATAGTGCGTCGTGTGTGCACCACTACCACTATTCCTTCCCCTCTCGCAAGTCGGTAAACACCACCGGGTCTGGTCTGGGTGCAGCTGCCCCTGGTCCCTTTGTTCCTTTCGGGGTGAAAGGTAAAAGGGTGCCTTTGGCCACGACGACGCGGCACGCGTCACTATACAGATGCACTCTGGTGTGTCCCTTCCTACTCCCCTCTACCCCCTGCGATGGCCCATGGCCTTCGGCTACGACGTGGTTACCTGCTGAGGATGACTGGGCTGGAAATAGGCAGAGGCGGTACGATATCAAGCTGACTTTTATGTGTTTGTATATAAGTAATACCCAAATAGCAGTTCACCAAAAGGTGATAGACATTGTGGAAATTTTCGTTTCTCCAAATGCAGTTTCTTTATTCTGAGAACGCCTCATTTACCAATTCTTAGCTGTGGGTGACCGGAGAATTACCAAATCACAAGGACGAGGAAGCCTTCCTTATTTCGTACGGAGTTTTAAATTTCGTTATGCCTATAATCGCATTTGTTGTTTTTTTTTCAACAGCATCTATCGGGAATCGGATTTAAATATTGCTATTATGGAGCACTTCAATGTATATATAAATTTAGATCAGGAAGGTCAAGTTATCTTAGCTATTCAACAACTTAAGGATAATATTACTGCGGCAGGTGTACGAGGGATGTCTTTTAAGTTTTGCATATAGAAACATAGTAGGCCGCGCGGATCGAACGTCAGTACTGACTCTTAACCTCACTCTTTAGTAAACATAAATTCAAAGTTTCACAACAATACGTGCAGTGTTCTCACTACAGTGAAATCTTAAGTGTCACCAAGTCATTAGAAAAATGGAACTCAACCGAGAAAATTTTCGCAACAAGAATGAGTTGCTGAGTTACTGTCTGTTTTCGGCAACGAAGCGCCAGATCAGTCGACAATTTCCTGTTGGTATGGAGAATTCAAACGTGGACGGGTGAGTCTTAGCGACGATCCCAGGGTGGGTGCACCCAGGAAAACGTCGATGCTGTGCGCAACCTCATAATTGAAGATAGACATGTGACATATCGCGAGATTGAGGCGTCCTTGAAGATCTCAAAGACCTCAATTCAAAAAAATTTACATGAAGAATTAGGAGTAAGAAAATTAGTTTCTCGTTGGATACCCCACCTGTTGACTGAAGAGCAGAAAGCAGCCAGGGTTAATTGGTGTCAAAAAACGCTTGACCGTTTCAATTCCGGAAACTCAAAAAATGTGTACAGCATTGTTAGTGATGATGAATCGTGGATTTACTGCTATGAACCAGAAAATAAACGACAGTCGGCTGTTTGGGTGTTCCAAGGTGAAGAAAAGCCAACAAAAGTCATCCATTCTCGAAAAAGATGGTCGCGACATTTGTGTCAAAAGCAGGCCATATTGCAACAATTCCTCTTAATGAGCAAAGAACTGTTACTGCGGATTGGTATACCACCATTTTTTTGCCAAAAGTCATCATCGAGCTTCGAAAAATCAACACCGAAAGAAGAATCATCCTCCACCAAGACAATGCAAGCTCGCACACAGCCCAAAAACAAGGCAGTATTTAACGGAAGAAAACGTGGAATTATTTTACCATCCTCCATATAGTCCCGATCTAAATCCTAACGATTTCTTTACTTTCCCGAAAATTAAAAACAGACTGCGCGGTCAAAGGTTGCAGTCACCAGAAGAAGCAGTAAACGCATTCAAAAATGCCGTTTTGGATCTGCCAGCAAACGAGTGGAATAAGTGCTTCGAAAATTGGTTCGAGCGCATGCGCGTGTATTAAGCTTCGTGGAGAATTCTTCGAAAAACAATAAAGTCATTTAAAACTACCTACCGTGTTGTTTTATTTCCATATGCAAAACTTAAAAGACATCCGTCGTATTATGTAAAAACCCAAAAAACGTCAAGAAAAGCCGACAAACTGTCATCTTGCAGACTAGGTCGTTTTTAGGGTAAAAATAATTCATTCCACGTTTGCCCGCAATGATCCTTGTGAGTGACCATCGAGAAAATTATTATTGAATGAAGTAAATCTATTAGCTGTGCCAGACGGGTTATTTATATGTTGTCCTTTCTGAAGACTGGTTATGTTCTAAGTTATAAATTACGATTTTCTCCGGTTTTTTCAAAAATTCTGAGGAGTATTACGGGAAATCACCACTGCGCAATTAAGCCAAATCACAGACAAATTAGGAATGACGCATCACACAAACATTTTCGCCGTTTCCTTTCAGCTGTAGTATACAACTTACAGCTCAGACCTCCAATAATGCCGTCTCTGAAGCAGATGTTACATCACATAAGAGCCAAACATTGATAACTGAAGCATCATGACGTTTAGGCAACACACACAGCTACAAAACGAGTTCACAACAAGTGTACAACTGCTGGTGCTAAGTTAACATCTTGTAGAAAAACCTACGTTATGTCACAAAAAACCTACAAAATGTCAAAAAATCAACAAGGTACTTAATACTTAATGCCGGAATTTCCTCGTTTCTGGTAAAGGACTATGCTACGGCTCTTGCACCTAGATATACTGTGCTACTTAACTTGAGCATAACATCTTGTATATTTCCTGCGATTGGGAAGTGTTTTCATAAGTGGTGAAAACTCAAATGTTGAGAACTATCGACCCAATTCTCTCATATGCACCTTTGCGAAGATCTTTGATATATTCATGTATAATCGCTTGTACCTTTTGAATAAAAAATAAAATCTTACAGCCGCAGCACGGTTTTGTTAATAGTCGATTCACAGTAAGGACTATTAAAGTTCTTTAGATCCTATTTATAAGGCGGAGGCAATACGTAGTATACAATACGTTCAAGTCCGAAGCCTACCCAGCTCCACCCAGTGTGCGCCAGGCGTCTAACTTGGGACCACTTTTATTCCTATTGCTTATTAATGACCTCTGTGAAAATTTGAAATGTATGCAACTATGTTTTTCTGACGACATGAAAATATATCCGTCTATAAGGGAGATTCATGATTGTTTGGATTTACTGATGGAGTTAAATAGTATTCGGACTTGGTGCAATGTCAACAATTTACATCTAAATACCAACAAGTGCAAGGTTGTTAGTTATAGTAGAAAGAAAACCTTTATATTGTCAACTATAATATTGATGGTGCGTTGTTGGATAGATGCGATTTGAGATTTGGGTGTTCAGAAGCGCTTAGATCATACAGTTTCCTTGTCAGAAAATGTAGGCAATTTCACAACATAATGGCAACATAATTCTATATATGAGCGTAGCAAACTTGAATATGCGAGTGTTATATGGAGCCCGTATTACCAAATGTATATACACGAAAGTGAAGTATATCTATTAGCTGTGCCCGACGGGTTATCTATATGTTGTCCTTTCTGAAGATAGGTTGTGTTCAAAGTTATAAATTACGATTTTTTGTGTTTTCAAAAACTTTGAGGCGAATTACGAGCAATCACCAACGCGCCCGCGCTGTGTATAGTAACTTTTAGCATGTATATGACTTGTAATTCGACAGTGTACAGTGAATATAATTATTTCTTATATCTCTCATTTTTTAAATTCAGCAAATATGAATAAGAAACGTAAAGCTTTCAATCTCAAATAAGTGTTACCTCCAGTAATGCCATCTCTGAAGCAGATTTTACATCACATCAGACCCAAACATTGATAACTGAACCCTCATGACGTTTAGGTAACACATACAACTACAAAACAAGTTCATAACATGTCCATCAGCTAGTACTAAGTTAACGTCTTGTAAGAAAACCTACATAGTATCAAAAAAAACACTATTATGTAAAAAAATCGATATAACGTCACTTTTCAAGATACGTAATACCCGTGCCATTCTATTTACAATGCAGTGGTGTAAATTCCATTACTTTCCAAAACAAAAAATCAGTTTACCGTTCAAAATTTGTATGCTTACTTCAAAAATTTAATTCACTCATTAAAACTATCGCCTACTAAGATCAACCCCAAGGCAGAAAACATGCCCCTACGTCACTGCGCTTCATTCAAACCGTGCTATTTAGTAGCAACCAGAGTTTTTAATTTAGCGGGTGCATCCACATGGAAAACAGGCTTCTACTGCTTGCTTGTGATGTGATGTAAGGACTCCCGCTGCAAGGAAAAGTGAACGTATGCATATCAATCAAGGGCTGAAGGGTACATGGACCAAAACTAAAGGGTGGATATAGTTATCTTGTATAGGGAGTGATTGAATCGCGAAGCTGTTTATTAGAAGCTTACACCGACACGCTAGCTTCTCGATGAAGATATCCAGTGGAG